AAATGGGGTTAGAGTTCTTGAGTTCATGAAGCACTTGCTGGACAGCATGCTAGAAATCTTAGAGCCACACTTTCACAGAGCAAAAAGTGTGGCAGTAATTAGCCATTACAAAGCTAGGATATTCTGCTAGCAATTTAACCCTCATTTTTCCTATCTTTTTCTGTTAGTTCAGTTGCGACTGCCATAGCCTACCTTTTTTGTCATCATAAACCTTGCTACCAAGTTGAATCAAGATTTGGCAAATTAATACTGGATGCTTAACATGACATTGAGTGGCTTGCACAAATTATATACATTATATAACTGAATAATGATTATACAGTATATAATATAATAATAGTATAATTGTTATTACATATCCTATCTGATCTGGAAGAATGAATATGCTTCAGGTAGTGCCGGCTAGAAAGAGTTGGTTGATGGGGCCTCAAGGGAGAAGCCATTTTTGCTGTGGCACCTTTCATCAAGCCTTGAAAACTTGGTTTTGTGGCATTAGGAATAAAGGGATGTCAAGATGGCAGCTACTAAATCAAACATGTGAAAAAGGTGCAGGGCTTCAGTCACATATTATGACCACCACCTTGATATGTTTGACACTCACGCAACCTTTGAATGTGTCAAATTTATGCTGATGTACCCTTCCATTAACTCAATGATAGGAGGAATATATCATCTGGGATTTTTTTAGTGTCTTGGAATTTTTTTTAAAAAAAATATTGGATTGTTTTTACAACAGTGGCCATTGAAATTTGTATGTATTTTGTTGCCTGCTTCTTCCTTTCCTGCATCCATTAACAGATTCAGCAGCCTGGATTTGCATTATTTATTTTCTGATTCAGGAAATCAGCTTCCATCTATGCTCTTCAAATATATGATCAGTTTTGTCTGTGGATCACATGACTTGTCTAATATGTCTGTGGTGATATATGAAAAGCACTTTGTCATCAATTCTATAGTATCGCTAGCATATGGTTTTGAAAATAAAAATTGGAAAAATATGATCGAAAAACTAGTCTTTATGACACCGAAGGAGTTATTTCATATACACGTGGGCCCAAGTACATATTTTTGCTCTATTTTTTTTTCACAGATATCGAGTAAGTTAATCAGATATTGTGCCCTCCTTTCCACCCCATTTCAAATTGTCTATATTCTTCTTTGTCAAATCAGTATGGAGGATTTATCCATCACTCCCTGGCTGAAGGTTTGTTCTAACAACATTTTCTGTCTGCCTTTCCTCTCCTCCTTCCTTGATACTCATATTATTAAAATATTAAAATGCCCTGAGATTCCCAATACAGCAAATGTTTGGGAAAGTAAAACAGGCCCCTTTCTTACAAAAGTTGAAATATACAACCCCTTGTCCATGACATAACCCGCTTCACCCAGTTACAAAGGTGCTGCAGAGAGTAAAAAAATTAGAAGGAAAAAAAATCCCTTTTCCCCTCTGTTGCAGGAATTCTCTGCTTTGGTTCATTTCTTGTTCAGGTCAAAAACCAGAGGCTATAATTCAGAGTTCAAATGTTTATTAGGCAAATAAGGCAATAGTGTTGGGTGCAGATAGGTGCGGACAACGTGGGAGCAAATTTGGTATAATGGTTAAGGCAGCAGGCTAGAAACTGGGAGACTGTGAGTTCTAATTTTGCCATGGGGATGAAACCAATTGGGTGACCTTGGGCTAGTCATGTTTTCTCAGTTTTAAGGAGATAATGGCAAACCACTTCTGAAAAACCTTGCCAGAAAACTGGGGATTTGTCCAAGCAGTCTCTGAGAATCAGACACAATTGGAAAAAAACAAAAACAAAAAATAACTATTCTGGACAGGGCTTCTGGTTTGCTGACACGGCTGCCATGAATGCTTGGAAGACAAGCTCCGATTTCCTCGTCCAGTTTTGCATCGCTGGGGGACCCTGAAAAGGCTCGAAAGTCGCCCCGTAGAGACGGCCAGCAAGGAGGGGCCTTTGCTGGATCGTGGGAGAGTGGTAGCTCTCCCGCTAGAGCCGGCACAACCCTCCAAACTGGCAGACGAAAGACCGCCCATAGTAATATGGTTCGTCACTAGGCTGCGAACAGCCGAAGTCTGGCAACTCACCATCTGGCAACTTTAAAGCAGCATGGAAGAGACTGGGTGAGACTTTTGTGAGGAATTGTGATAAAGGGAATTGGGAATATCTAAAATTGGGAAATAATAGATATTAAATGTTAAATTTTAAATATTAATGGAAAATTAAAATTGGGAAAAATTCATTAGTTCATTGATTGTCTCAAAGATTGAACGTTAAAATAATCAAGATATATATAAATTAAAAATGACTGATAAATGTAAGAAAGTTATTTTTTATTTGATTGATAGAATAAGAAGTGTATTAATTCAAATATGAGACAGTACATATTAAGGGGGAAAGAGAGGAAATATTTACTGTAATAGTTTGAGATTTGTACTAATGACATTTGCATGTAATTGAATTATGGTAACTCAGCTGCCACGTTGCTTTGCAAAGATATAAATGTAATATTAGAAAATCAATAAAATTTTCAAAAAAAGAGAAAAAGCGAGAAATAATAAAGAAAAGTGATAAATAAAAATAATAAACATTGGTAGAATATTTGATGGCAAGATGAAATTAAAATTAAGAGATGGGCAACTAACCTACAGAGATCATGCCAAAAAAGTGTGATTATCATTCAAAAATATAAATTTGAAACCAGTATAAAGAGCATTCCCTAGAACAGTGTTTCTAATAGTCCTAGGATGCCTGTGGGTTTAATTGCTTTTAAAATAATTCCAAATAGCTGTAAGGTTTCTAAAAGATATATGGGGT